ATGGGAGAAGTTGATCTCTACTCCCGGTTTGTCCATGTCAGAAGAGGTCAAACCGAAGTGGTTTACCCGGGCTGCCCTGGATGCCTATGCACATGCCCTGTATGTTACTGGTTACAAGGACTGGCTGTCTTTTGGCAAAGCAGCCCAGTATATCTGAACAAACAATAGTTCATGATCTTTCAATGACTTAACCCTTCATACCCAGCTTACATAAGGCATAAAGTCAGGCCACCCAAACTTATGGAATGTGCCTAACTTAGCCAAAGAGTATACACAAAACAGAGGGCACAACTACTTCTCTCTTCTTTGGGCATATGACTAGACCATTCTAGTCGCCCTGAACTGTTTAAAATATCCAAATTATATATATCTGTCTTCTCCTTTGTCTTCTAAGGCTGCATATGACTGAACTAACTTAAGTTCAGTCTGCCCCAGTTTACCACCAATTTTATTCTTAGTTATACTCTCTTCAGGTTGTGATAGGCTATAGTCAGACCACCTAAACTTATAGAACAGTCTGATTAGCTCGTGCTTAAAATAGAGTAGTAGTAAAATTTAGCCAAGTTGTAACCATTGGGTTCCACAATGTGCGAGGCTTTGAGCCAGACCCCCTGAACTTACAGAAGGATCTAACTCTCTACCTGATCCATTTCTCTCTAATCCAATATGTGCGTGACATTGGGCTAGATCACCTGAACTTACAGAATAGTCTGCCGGTTCATTTTCTCTGAATAAAAGCAGGAAGAGACTAAGCCACCTAAGCTTATAGAACAACTTAGACCTCCTCGTTCAGAATCAAATAAAAAGAAGGAAACCCAAAGTAAACAAGGCGGCCAAGGCACCTGAACTTACAGAACGCGCTTGGTCCCTGAAAAAGTCAAACATAGTCAGCCCTCTCCAGTCAGAGCAGTCAGGCCACCTAAACTTATAGAACAGTCTGACCCTCCATGAGCAATCAGACCCCCTAAACTTATAGAAGGGTCTGACGCTCCATGCAAACCAAAATAAACAAAGCATTGAGTCTCCCCGAACTTATGGGGACCTCCCAACCTTAATGACCCAGTCAAAACCTCAAACAAAACAGTCCTCCATCCTGCCTTTCCCAGATGCAATTTCTTTTAACAGTCTAATTTCACACAATCAACAAAATTGAAACTGAAATTGAGCAGGCATTTTTTTACTCAGTCTGATTCAGTGTCCTGAAAGTCAAACAAAAGCCAAAGTAAGGCTGCACACCATATACTCAGTCAACTCATAGAGGTGATACAGATAGGGGCTATAATCTAGGCTTATAGAGGGGAAGCAATAATTACCTCTCAGTTCCCTGCCTCCAGAACTCCTCTTGAGTTCCGGCAGGGCTCCCGCAATCGGTGGGCTGACTCCCCACAGAGTCTTGCTGCGGTCCTACGGGTTGCAATCCCGCCTGCCGCCTTCCTCTCAGAATGGGACTAGACTTAGATCTTAGAAGGGCAGATAGAGAAAGTTTGAGTCGCTCAGATACAAGAAGGGTGCTCTCAGACTCGCGCGAGAGGGCCTTGATACCTTCATTTGCCTGAGGGCCCCGCAATGGCGGCCGAATGACACAGCAGCCTGGTCAACTTGAAGTCAGACTGTTGAAACAGACCTCCCTGAAAAACTCCCAAATCGCAGTGATAACCCCCATCACAGTGCTTGATCACTCTCCCAAAGCCAACCTCTTCGTCCTTCGACTAAATCGCCCTGACGCAGCCTTGAAAGGCTGCTTTTAAACAAAACACATCCCTGTGTTCCACGCGAGGATACACTCAGCAGCAAAGCAACACTAAACACAACACCGCCTTACAACCATTCTTCCTCCGATCAGCATACCCATGCATGGTGTTGAACAGCACCCTCACCTTTCTTCCTCGCAACAACAACATGATCCGCACCCGCCACACAGGGCGAAACAACTGGCTCACAACTGGAAACAGCAACAGCTTAACTAGTTGTAGCCTTCCCTACACCAACCACAATCTGACTGGTAATGATATCTCCAACAGTAGGATCGAAACGACAGCCCCTGGTAAGTTTCTCCCTCGTCAATGTCCCTCCTTTCACGATCTCTCCTTGTTCCTACGCTTGGCTTCTCGCGTACCCTCTCTTTCTCTGTTGTTTGTGCACGCTTGATAGGCACGAGCTACTTCTGATATCTACGGGACGTACCTACCCCTTAGATCAAGAGAAGATTCATTGCCCAAATAATAGCGATCCTCCCCAACAGAATCTGGCCAATGGGGCTAGAATGACGAATAGTGCAGCGCTAGAACGAACACGTTCCGACAGAATGCTATGACGACGAAGACCACGCAGAGGAGCATTACTTAAGAAGGTATGTCCTGCTGCGCTCCCTTTCCATCTTTTTCACATACCGGACAATAGTTGTATCTTGCTGCAATCTCGGGCAGATACAGGCAAACTCAAGACTGCAGTCAGGACTAGTTACCCCAAGGCAGGTGGCGGCAGTGGCGACTCCCAACGAGAGGACTAGTCGGATGGTAGTGGCCATTACTTTGAGGCGGGGAAATGCTTACTGCGGAAACAGACTGTTCCACCACGACGATCAGAACCGCAACAGTCATTCCCACATTAAGCGCGGTCGTCGGAGCCAAGATAGCGAGGGGCACGATCGAGAACGAGCTCCCAGACGCCAACAAAAGTGGCCGCTCTCCCTCTCTCTCTTCACTTGGTAGACCACCCGGCCAGGCTCCCCTACACCTGGCAGACTCAAGAAAGGCAGGCTGACCGCGAACAGGAAGAGGACCGCCCGATGGACAATTGACAGGCAGTGAGACGAAGCTGATCAATGGTGAGGTGATCAGTGTGAAGACGAAGACCACTTGTGTGTCCCGAGCACTACGATCGGAAGCGACCACGAGCCGTGTAGCCCCTCCTCTCGAAGTTGTAATATGAGAATGAATCTTTCCGTTAAAAGCGGGAATATACATCGCTTTCGATCATGCTTGTAGAGAGTTAGAGAGTGGCCTTTTCCATCGATAGGATGGGCAACGCACCGGCCAACAGGCAAGTCCTTAACCCCGCAACTGACCTCACGCTATTTCATCGATAGGATTAGCAAAATCCGGATGAATCTTCCACTAGAATGCGGAAAGATACATTCAGCTTTCCAAGCGCCGTCAATATTCGCGCAGCCGCTACCTGACACAGCACAGAAACTACATCTTCACTGCGGAATCCGAGCCTGCCATCGAACTGGCAACTTCCCAGAACCCCCGCTCAGCATCTTTCCTCCTTCAACTCCGATAAAAAACGAGCGAGATACGCCCGTTCCCTCCTCTTCTTCTTTTACTCCTCCATATCCGCGCACACTTTTCCTCACTAACCTCCTGTTCTACTAACTCTTCACTAAAACTAACTTTACCATCGGTTTTGCCATGCCAAAAAAACCCCTACCACATTCTCCCGCGGTCCGATTCTATTGAGAATCGTGCACGCCACTCATCCCCAACTGTGCCCTGCCTGTCTCCCCACCATCTCCGACTGCACCCGGCCCGTTTTCCCGTCCAGGTTCACTTCATCCTTCTTCGAAGTCCCCCCCGCTTGCTACCTGGCCCGCTTGCTGCTGCATGTTCACGTAGCGACATGCCTCCCCCACCGTGCTCCGCCCCGTTGTGGCCCAGCTCCTGTCGACTCCTGCCATCTCCACCATCACTCCCGCATGAACCTGGCGCGCCCCTCCGTCCTGGTCCATTCCTTTCCCCTGCTTGCTGCCGCCCGGTGCCGCCCGGTTGTCTCCGCTGCTGCCCATCGCTCTGCTGCACCAGCACCCGCCCCGCTGCTGCGCAGCGCTGTCTGACTAGCCCCACCGGCCTCGACGAAGGCAAGGACTGGCGAAGGAGAAAACCCAAAACGCGCGGCTCCTCCTCCGCCTTATACATTTCTCCCGAGTGCGGGGCCGCGCTAATCTTCTCTGTATCGTTGAAATTTTTAACGGATGTCCCGAAGGACCTCGGCCTCGGCAGCGCCCCACAGCTCTTCGCAGCCCGAACAGCCTAACTGCCACCTCGCCTCACACTACTGCATATGGATCCGACCCTCTTATAAGGCCAGGTTCAGGCAGGTACACCCCCCCCCTTCCATAATTTATGCATGCCATCCCCGCGGACCACGCTAATCTTCTCAATACCGTTTCAGTTTCTAACGGGTGTCCCGAAGGACACAGCCTGGGCCGCGGGAATGACTGGCCCTAGGCGGTTCCAGATGTTTGGTTTGGTTCATCACGGCCCATCATCTGGTTTCGAACTCGGTCCGCATTTCAACAGGCCAGGAGTGTACTTATTGAACTAAGCCCATGGGGCCTGCCATACCCCCACTGCACCGCGCCCCAAGGCAAAACGGGGCGCGGCTCCGGCGCAGCCACGAAAACAGTTTGTAATGGTACTTCAGGCAACACCGCGAATACAACACACCCCATGTGATCTCACCGCCGTCTCGCGTCCCCGAACGGGACGCGATAAATCAAACAAAAAAAGGGAAATAAAAAAAAATAAAAAATAATATCGGGGGAACAGCGGGGCGGCTGGCGCCTCGTCAGTCCCGCGGATCAGGCCCACCGCCGCGCCCGTAAACAAAACCGAGGGGGATAGCCCTGGCGGCCCTCAACCCCATCGGTTCCTTCCACGACGCTCCGCTGCAGTTGCTGCGCCGACGCCTGCTGGCCTCGATCCCCGAACCCTCGTAGCGTCAACCCAGTGCCGTAACCTATAGGGCTAAGCCCAAGCCTAAGTTTGGCTCCGACGGGCACTGCGTAGCGCACGGGCCGACTGAAAACACCTCAACGGCCACCTTGTTGTCGATGCCGTCCTCCATACGTACGCACAGGTCACAGGCAAGCACATCAATCACCGAGATGTAATCGTTTTAATCCCTATTTTAATCAGAAAAATAACCCTGGCCGATGATCACGCCGATTCTTCAACCATCAACAAATAAAAAAAAAATCATGCGCGCCTCAAGTCTGCGCGCCCACACACTCTTTATTCTAGTCAACCACCCAACCAACATAAGCCGCAGGCGCAACCGCGCCCCACACGGAATACTTAAATTTTAAACCAAACCTACTTCCTGTCACATGCAAAAAACAGGGCGGATACCCTTGTAAGGGTATTCGCGCCGACAGCGGACGAATGCCTTGCGGCGTAACGTAATGGCCTAAGTACTCCAGCTCTTGCTCGGCAAACTCGCAGTTGTCGTGGTTCGCCTTGTACTTGGCGATACGGAGCCGCTCCAATACGGCGCGAAGGTGCTCGAGGTGCTCGTCCAGCGTCCGACTATAAACCAAGATATCATCAAGGTAAATGAGTACGGTACGGTCGAGCAAGTCACGGAATTCCGTCGTCATAGCCGCTTGGAAAGTAGCCGGGGCATTGGTGAGACCGAAAGGCATGACGATCCACTCAAAGTGCCCATATCGCGTCTTGAACGCGGTTTTGTACCGATCTCTTGGCTGGATCTCGATCTGCTGGTATCTGGACTTGAGGTCAAGCTTTGAGAAGTACTTGGCGCCGCCTAGTCGCTCGAGAAGATCATCGATCCGAGGGAGAGGGCCGACGTTCTTGATCGTTTGCCCGTTAAGTTTCCGATAGTCGATGCACAAACGAAGGTCCTTGTTCTTCTTCCGGACGAAGAGAACGGGAGCACCGTATGGCGAACAGCTAGGGCGAATCCAGCCCTTGGCCAAGAGGTCGTCTAGTTGTGCCTGAAGCACTTGAAGTTCCTCTTCGCTCATGCGGTACATCCGCGTGGAGATACGGTGCCGTCCTCGAGAGTGATCCCGTGGCGTATGGGCCGATCCGGTATGACTCCGGTGGGAGCTTGGAAGACATCCTCATAGCTGTCCAACAGCTCAATGATGCGTGGGTCCGACGTATCCGTCTTGGGCTGATCACCGGGTGGGAGGGCGTCAAGAAAACATATGCCCATCTCCTCGATGTCGTTCCGCCGGATGGATTGGCGAATGCTCGCTGCGGATACCATGTGACAACCAATCGAAGGATGAGGAAGCGGCACCGTACACGGGACTAGTTCGCCACGCCGATCACGAACATGAAGGGTGCGTTGATGGAAGTTCACCGGATGGTCTTCGCTTTGCAGCCACGACATGCCTAGGATCATATCGAACTTGGTGTCCAATATGTCGAAAGACACAGCCTCGCATGCTAGCGGGGCAAAGTACACGGACACCAAGTCAACGCATCGGTCGATTGACTTTTGCGTGCGACCATCGGCCAACGTGACGTGCGTAGGCTGACTTTTCCTTTGAACGCGCGGGCCAAGCCTGGCGCGTGCCATGAAGTCTTGGCTGATGTAGTTGCGAGTCGCTCCACAATCGATCAAGGCACTGCAGGTCGCCTTTCCGATCTGAATGCAGATGTAGAGGAGCGGCGCGTCGATGTCGACGTACCGTTGCGTTGCGTACTCGTGGTCGATCTTCGCAAGATAGTTACGAAGGTCAACAACCGCTACTCCGCCGTCCGTCGACGGAGGTGGTACTGCAGCGTGCAAGTATTCACGCAGATGTGCCATTAAGGCATTGCAATGCGGTGTTGGCCAAAACCGGTGGAGGGAAGAGGCAACCATTGGAAGTCCTCAACCGTCAACGGGTCGAGTTCCTCAATACTCGCTCAAGTTGACGGATCCTCCGATAGAAGGGTTGGCGAAGCAACCGGTTCGTTGTCCGACGGCGGAACTACCGCTCATGCGCTTGAATCTTGCACGTGGAGAGGCTGGTTCAACGGTGGGACCAGCTCGACAGCATAGTTCTCAAACTCGATCCGAGAACTTGCAACTACCGCGGTGTCCCCGGATGTGAGAGAGACTGCTAGCAAGGCAGCCGACTCCGGCGGACTGGGAAGTGATGTCGCTGCGCTTCCCGCGGTGCTCAGTTTCCCGAGCTTGGACGTTTGACATTCTCCTTGTCCTTGTCGAGGCATGCGCTGGTGATGAGTTTGGTGCTGTTGCACCAAACGCAGCATCCCCATTTTTGTCGCAACTTGAACATGTTTTCGGTAATGCCGAACTTTGTCCATGGTGCCTGTGGTGCTCCATCCGCCGACGCTGGTTTCGCCTTTTGTTTTCCCCCTCGGGGTCGTGAGCGTTGCGGTGGTATCGCTGCCGCCACATCTCTGTCACTTGATGTAGACGCGGCTGCGGGGTCCTCACTTGTTCCTTGCTGGACTGCTGCTACTTGCGGCGTCTGTTGACCTTTGCCTTTCTCCACGTAATTGGGCTGTTGGGGGGTCTCGTTGGCCGCCCGCTGGTTACCTTGTATGAGCTCCCTTGCCTTTGATATCATGTCATTAAAGGTCTCATACTGGAATTCGCTGCCCAAAGCAGTAGTCAAGGCGTCGCATGACCGGGCGAAGAACTCGGCCCGGATTGAGTCGAACGGTAAGTTCAACTCCGGGGTGGCGACGAGTCTTTGCCACTCCGTCAACCATTTCTGTGACGTTTGCTGGCCTTGGTATACGCGGAAGATGTTGTTCATGGCGCGCCGTTTGTCATTGTTGACCATGAACCGGGTCTTCCATTTGTTCTCGAATTCCTCCCACGTAATCTTAGTGTGGAGGTTGGCGATGGTGCATTCCAACGTGACGGCCATGTGTGTCATGAAAGCCTGCGCCCCTCCGATGAGTTGGTGGTAGAGTGCGTCAAGCCGCCGATGTGTGGGTGTGTGATGTACATCCGCCTCTGCGTTGAAAGCCATCCACCATTGCAGCGGATCAGTCTTGTGATAGTCATCGAACTTCTCGATCTTGAAGTTCGGCACCTTCCATTCCTTGGCGACAGCGGCCGGTCGTTGCTCAACGTGGTCGCTGAGCGTCTGCAGCTGATTGCTGACTGTCGATGCTCCAGCAAACTTGTTGATGTCGCCGAGAGATGCGGCCAAGTGGTTGATCCGCTCTTCGAGTTTCTTGGCCTGCGTGGCCAAAGCTGGGCTGCAGTCTACCACTGCACTGCCTGTTGACGCAGCTGCTGACAGTTGTGCCAACCCCATTGTTGCATACTGTAACGGTGCAGACCAGAACAAGAACCGACCTCTCAATACAAAGCACAAGATAGCGTAGCGGAAGACTTAGATACCAATGATCCGAACAATCAATATTGCAATGTAGCCCCGAACATACATCATCATCATCATTCCATGGTGTGAAGGGGTCTGGCGCTCACACAGGAAGAATGCGCCAGCCCCAACCATACACAGACGAAGAAGAGGGGAAGATGGGAATGTCGTCAACACCAAGTCTTCGGCACAGGCCCAAATAGTCCCTCGTCAAAATGTCTGAATCCCAATGTCGAGTCTGGATCCAATGTCGTCAAGTCTCAAGTCACAACTCCCTCTCTTTGTCGTAGTCTGCTGATACTGAGAAGTCGAGTGGTGAGAGGGTGAGAAGAGATGGTGGACTCGGAAGAGGAAGAAGAAGAACTCTCTCTCTCTCTCTCTGTCCGGTACTAACCTGTGAAGCTGGCGCCTTGATGCAGGTACCTCGAAGATGGAGCTGGAGCTATGGCGCCACAGGTAAGTCTCGCTGGCCTCCGCCAGCCATCTCTCTCCAACACTACTACCACTACCACTACTTAGCGCCCTGCGCTGAAGACTACTCCTGCAGCTACTAGCGCCCAGCGCTGAAGACTACTGCTAGCGCTAAGTTGCTCCTGCAACGCTCCTCCAGAGTGCTGCGGCCGAATCCTGAAGACTACCTCCTGCCTTCTGTCCAACTACCTACCCGTGAAGTGCATGGGAACTCCCTATGTACTACTCGGCCTGCCCCCTGCCTGCCTGCAACTTGCTCAAGTCCGCACGCAGGGTTTACATCCATCGGTGAGGGGGCCTGCCCATACCCAACTCCCCCTTCGGAAGGGGTACCCATACCCACCCGTAACCTGGCGGTTACAGTCAGGTACGGGTAACGGTTACCCATTTGCGCTCTCTGATCGACCCCTTCCATGCGGCTTTTGGTCCGGAACCGATGGATGTAAGCCCTGTTCTGGACAACGCCAACACGGCACTGGAGGGCCTGGCCCTGGAAAGAGACCCAGAAGGTGTGGAGGACGGGGCGCCGCCGCTGCACCTGCTTATGGAACAGAAGCTGGTTGCCATTGCGGACTGGCTGATGGGGAACTTGAAAGCGAAATACGGCCCCCTCACCGATGAGTTCTGGGATAAAACGTACCTGGAATTATTCCCCATGTTGGACTCGAGCGCCTCGCTCAAAAACGTACTGGAAAATGGAGTGCAAGTGGGGGTGAGGTGGTCTGAAGCATGGCACAAATTGACTACAATTGTGTTTGCAAGATTTCAACCACCCCAAACAGCAGCAATACAGGGAACAGAGCAGGATGGATCCAGAGCTGCGACAGCGGATGGACAGACCCAAGTGACACATGACCTCCGGTTCTACAACCACTATTCTCTCCGCCAGGCCCGGGCCCTCTGGACTCAGATGAGAATGCACTCGACCTGGTGCGAAGAAGGAAGCTTAGGCCCCTGGTTGAGATGGGCCGCGACAATGGCTCTCTGTTGCAAGCGGCCATGCTGGTCATCCCCGTGCAGAAGAAAAATGGGAAATGGGAGGTGGGCCTGTCACCTGTTGAGAATGGCAGACAAGGGGGTGTCACGTTACAAGGATGGTCATTGTTCTGGACGGAATCAAAAAATTGTCGGACTGAGGCAGTGGCAGGAATTCTGCAAATGCAGTTGGCATCCCACAAAGCAGAAACTTGGCCGTCAGGGGCACAGGCTATGGTCTCAATTACAACAGGCCCCAGCAAAATAGCGCAGACGGATATCTATATACGTTTCGGCCCGACAAAGGAGGCGGGCCTGAGATGGCATACCTGCGCCCAACTGCTGGACTTGCAGACGGTCAGGATCAAGCACAGCGACACCTGGACTGAACAGGATGTTCAAAAATGCCTATGTGCTCTTCTTAGCCTGGGCTTTCTGCCAGGAGCTGCGGATTGGGACTGGGAACAACTGTTGTGGATCCGTTTGTAGAACAGCAACCAGTGGTACTGCACTACGATTATAATATAACTAAGATGGACCTGGCCAGAGCAGTGTACGGGAAAGACCGGATTTGGAACCAATGCAGGAGGGCAGCGGATCTGGACTTCCCTGAACGTAAATGGCTTGGTGTCGTGTAAACCCGACAAACAGAACGCAATCTGGGATTTAATTAGAGGGGGGGGGGGGAGGAAATGGCCAGACGTAGTGTGTGTTCAGGAAACCCACCTGATGGACACCCCAGAGCACAACCGTGTCCATAAAATGGTCTGGCCGCATAAGGCCTTCAAACCGGGGAGTGCAGGGGTGTCCATCTGGATTCCCCCCGAGTCCCGCGCAGACCCGGTGTATTGGGCAACAAACAAGGAAGGGGGTCGATGGTTGAGAGAAATATTTTTTTTGAGAATGTTAAAATGCAAATCCCGGACAGGGTTCTGGTTATTATAGCAGGGGACTACAACGCAGCCCTTGACCGCTGGTTGGATAGATGGCAGACATCCTCCCCTGCCCCGGAGTATGTGGAGGAGGATGAGAGGTTAGTTAAGGAATTTTGCCTCTCACTAAAAGTGTTTGACGCTTTCCGGAGGCTTAACCCAGATACAAGGTTTTATTCATGCCTACGGAAGACTGGGACCATGGCAACCACGGACCCGGACCCAGACATGTCTGGACCGAGGTCTAGACATTTGTCTGGACTGGTCCAGACGTCCGGTAATCCGTACAGGCACCGGACAAGCGGACAGGACCAGACCGGACAGTCCGGACCGGTACACCAGACACAAATAATGTCCGGACCGGAAAAAACAAAACAAAAAAAAAAACAAAAAAACATTAGTAATAAGCAGTACTAGCCACAGCTTACTATCTTTCACTATTCCCAACTCGACAGCTCAATAGAGTCAATACTGTCACAGACAGTCACAAAGGCTCACACAACACTAGAAAGCTGAAACCAGTTCTCAACAGACCAATCCCAAGTCACTTGAGAAAAGAGTACGAAAATCAGAAAGAAACAGAACTTCGAACTTTGAAGTTAGACTTTCTAATTCATATTCATATGACAATTGAAAATTTAAACTCTTAAGTTATTCAGACAGGAGAGACTTTGGATATTGTGTTGGTGTGGCCTGAGGGCTTGAACATTGGTTGATTACTCCATTGTATTGCTCTTCTTTGGATGGAATCTCGGTGCATTTGCGCTCTCTGCGTGTTAAAAAAAAATAATTCAGATCTATGTAAGAAGTACTAAGAACAAATCTGAGATCTGGTCAGGACCAGATCTAAGACGGGATCTCAGATCTGACCAAAATCATCTCTCTCTCTCTCTCTCTCTCTCTCTCTCTCTCTCTCTCTCTCTCTCTCTCTCTCTATCGCTCGCTCGCGCGCGCGCGCGCTTGATGTTCTGTGGTGCTTTGCAGCCAGCGCTTCATTTTTGGAATCAGACTCATCCTCTCTCTCTCTCTCTCTCTCTCTCTCTCTCTCTCTCTCTCTCTCTCTCTCTAGCTTGATGTTCTGTGACGCTTTGCAGCCAGCGCTTCATTTTTGGAATCAGATTCATCCTCATCCGGTGAACTACCAGAGTAGTACAATAGCAGAGGGAGCTGCTGGAAGCGTCTGGCGGCGTCTGGTAGGCCCTGAAACGGCCAAAAAATACCGGGGGCATTTTTTGGGGGCGGCCTAGGACCTGAAAAACGTCCTAGGCCCCCCCAAAAACAAATTCGAAATTTTGAAAATTGGGCCCAATCCAGACCTACCGGACCAGACACCGGACTCATACCCAAACAACCGGACCGTCTAGATTCCGGTCCAGACGTCCGGCCGGTTGCCATGATTGGGACTGACAGCCAGTTGAGATCCAGGATCGACTTAATCCAGGTCTCAGAGGATATGGGAGGGTCTCTGCTTCTAACAGTGATTTTACCAGTTAGCCCCTACCCGGACCTTGATCATAAAATGTGCATAGTCATTCTATCCTTCCGCAAGAAACATGACCATGGACCTGACTTTTACAAACTCAATACCTCCATTTTGCAGCAGCAAACCTTTCAAAGTTATATTACGGACCGCTGGATGTTCTGGCACATGCAAAGACAACACATTCAACAGGAAATTGACTGGTTTAACAACGGCCTGTTCTATCTGGGTAGAAAATGCCAAAAATACTCCAACCTTTTAGCAGCCAGGAAACATCAGCAGGAGATGGAAATCCACCAACAACTGCAGCAACTAGCACCAGGAACAGTCTAACAATGACACAATGTCCAGCATACACAGCCAAAAAAACATTCAGAGATACAGGCACTGCAACAACGACTTCAAACCTTTGTCACACAACGTTGGGAGGGCACATGTATAAGAGGGCGATTGACACGACATCAAATGGAGGGAACAATGGATCAAAAATTCTTCCGTATGGCCCGATTATGTTTGCGTAGGACAACCATAGAAGCGCTATATGACCCGCAGACTGGGTACCGGGATATTGCCACCTCCTCCCCCCATTGCACGCAGATAGTAAGGTCCTTCTTCAAAGACATGTTTACCTCTAGGTGCACCCAGCGAGAGAGGGACGTAAGGGAGAAAGAAAGTGAGGACTTCGTGAAACCATTGAAAAAGACCATGACAGACCAACAGAAAACAGATCTAAATCGTCCCCTGTCCAATGACCGAATCTGGACGGCAATGATGCAGATGGACGAAGAGAAGACACCAGGCATAGATGGGCTCCCTAAGGAGTTTTGGGAGACCTTTTGGACCCAGATGACCTCGGATCTCATGAAGTTCTATCATAATATGTGGGAAATAGGGCGGATTGAGGAATTGGTGGGGCAGGGCATTCTCACCTTGTTGCACAAAAAGTGGGACAAAATGGATATAAGAAACTACTGGCCGATAAATTTTACTTACAGTTGTCTATAAATTGCTAGCAAAAGCCTGGACGAACCGTCTGATCCCAATTTTGGATGATATTATCCATCCGACATAGTCTGGTTCGCCAAAGGGCGTAGGATTCAGTACAACATCCTATTATTTAACGAAATCCTCAAACTAATAAGGCAAAACAAGTAGAACG